TGTAGTAATCTAGATACATAAACTATAAACTAAAAGGATTTTAGTTCATTTATTTGTAAAATATAATAAAAATTTTATCATTGAGATATTACACTCTAGATAAAAAAATCACATTTTACATAAATTAAGAATTTTCTTACGTAAAATATTCGTATGGCCAAAATTTCAGATATTCAATATAAATATGTATATTTTAATTATATTTTACAAATGAATAAAAGAACGAGGGAGCAGAGAAGTCTTTTCATTATATATACGTTTATTTACTTTATTAGAATTAGAATTGAAATATGTAACGTTCAATACTATCACGTTAATTAAACAATTAATTAAATTTCTATATTAAAATCTATATAAATTTTATCTTATTTCGAGGAAAAGTTATCATAGAAAGCTTGAGAAAGAATTACTGACTCTTCGACAAATGAATAAAAGGTATAAAATTGCATTTAATTGCTATCGATAAGGATTCGTATTATAGTCTCTGTTCGAATATAGTTGGTTGGAAGCGAACCTTCGCTGGTTCCATATGATACCGGCGAACATCCTAACCGCACACTTATCATAATTGAAATCCGATACTTTCCGCACGGATCGCAGCACGGTCGACACTCGAGAACGGCGCGGCGACTCGAGTGTTCCTCGACACGTTGTTACACGAACTTCGTCGATGGATCTATCCAATTACATTCGGAGGCGAGTGGCAGACATGTCCTCGAAAACTCTGCTAAGTCAACCAAGTATTTGATCACAAAGAATGGCCGATGAAATCGAACTCCAATATGTATTAAAAAACTTAAACGTTTCCCTTCTTGTGAGAAATCGAAAGCTCTACAAAGAACATTAAATCGTACGATAAATGGATAAATCCCGGAATTTGAAATGTAAAATCTGAACAGTCCATTAATGTCTCCATTTACTAAGGTACGATATTTCTCGATATTCGATATTACTTATACGCTCTGAATTATTCTTACGATATAAAATAATGGCACATTGTTTGCACTGAAAAAGAGTTGAAAAACATATCTCAATTTCAATGTAAAGAACTCGATTTTTTTTTTCATAAAAGACCCAAACACGATACCATCCACTGGAGGGTTGACAAGTTCTATTGTAAACGAGAAACGCTGTGACCTAATGAACGCCATATAGAAGCTGAAATTAATGGATTATTTTTTGATAAGGCAAAAGCTTGTCGTCACATATCATCGCAAAACAATGCAGTTGCAAAAACGCCGTTGGTGACGTAATCTTGCTAATTATTCTTGCAAAGCGATTTTATATTCATTGACCCGCGATATTGCGTATCGACTATCGTCGAAGTAATAATTTAATAGCGCGATATTAATCAACGTATTTCCAGCGCCGGTTAAATAACAAATAAATATTCGTTCCCTTGCCGTTTTCCCTCTTCGGCGAATTGCGTTTTTTGCGCCGCATTCATTTGCGAGATTGCAAGCAATCGTTACCGCTGGTGGACGTATTTATGATAGAATCGAATGTGCTTGAATACTATCTCTGTGGTTGAATGGAGATTCGATTTACATCACGCAACTGCCATAATGAAAAGTGACAACTTTGATACTGTTCCCATAATTAAAAATATTGTATATATATATATATATATACAATATTTTTAATTATGGGAACAGTATCAAAGTTGTCACTTTTCATTATGGCAGTTGCGTGATGTAAATCGAATCTCCATTCAACCACAGAGATAGTATTCAAGCACATTCGATATATATATATATATATATAAACGATTGTAGAATTGTAGACTCGTGGAAAGAACAGTTAAAGCTTCCGTCGAAAGGAGGGGATGATCCGCCCACTGGGTAACCTTTCTGGCAAGCTTTCTGGTGCGCCAATATCGCGTCCGCCATGTCATAGGGGTCTCAGATTACTGGGGGAAAATCTCTATTGCGGACAGGGAAAGGAATTAAAACGTGCGGCAACTGTTCTCATAGATAAAGCCATGACGGTACGACGGCACCCACATATATGGCCGGTCGTCTTTACATTGCAGATGAACCGTGAATTTTACCAACGTCCCACTTTGTGTGTGTTTTACGACGCGGTCTCATACTTCGTAATTAAGAAGGATCCGACGACGGTGAAACTTTAAAGCGGAGACGACAGCTTTATCGCGCGTACTGTTCCAAAGTGTCAACGATATACGTCCCTAAGCGTAGAAATTATAATTTTAACTCCCATTGTATGATTTTCTTCTCTACACGTGTAGATTGATATTCCTTATTTTCTTTCTTATTGGCTTTAATCCCCGTCGATGATAAATAAAATGACAGAATTGAGAAGGCTTGTATTTTTATCCTGAATAGGTCTTGAAAATCATTTCTGATTCAATTCCTATGCAGATCTGAAATGGAAATATATACTTTGTAAAATTCCGATTTATGTCCAGAGCAAAAGAATTTTTTTTTAATATTTCTCTGCGCGAAATTGAATTGAAATGAAATGTGATAAGCAGAAATTCGAAATGTGAAACAGAATTAATTTGTTTTATATTTCTCGATTTACATATAGTCTTAAGAAATAAATATAAAAAATATAATTTGTATTACTGTAGCTTTATGATTTGGACGCGGAGTAAAATATTTTCAAACTAAAATGTAGATTATCCGTTTGCATGGGAATAAAATGTGTATGAAAGAGTTTCGATTTTATTTCGATGTGTGACGCAATTTGTGTATATAGAACAATGTCAAATTATTACATATTTATATATTTAGTATATATTCAGAATAATTTCACAAGTGAGATAATTAATGTAGATTGAAGCATATATAGCTTAATGAGATGGACCAAATAAGCAGTAATACATTTACATTTAATTTGATTTTGTTTGCAGCATTTTTTTGTAGCAAGATACGAGACAAGTTTTAAAAATAAGGTACGCGTAGATTCGAAAAAAACTTTAAGATTCTGGAAGCACCAAATGTTTCGAATTAAAAGGAATTAAAGGAAACTTCCTCTCCCTCTATCTTGCTTCTTTCTTCCTTCCTTCGTTGCAGTAGTACGTGAGAACTTTCCAGCAGTTGCTTAAAATTCCCAGAGCCGCGAATAGTATTGGCATTCGATTTCACGAAAAACTCGCTCGCCTCTACTTTCGAGGCTCAGGAACCATAGCTGTAGTCTCGCGTTTGACGACTTTGGTGGTTCGTTGCATCGCGATCGGTACAAGAAGGAAAAAAACACGCAGGAGTTGAAAAGGACGAAGTGAATAGATCGGCTTCCTAAGAGAAAAGAAGAGAAGAGAGAGAATCCGTGCGGAATTTAAATTGCTTTGAGCGAATCGCCGACGTATTTGCCTTTTTTCCCATCCTCGGCACATGCCCGGCGAGTTATCGCCCGTCGTAAAACTGCCACCGGCTGATCCTTGAATTCAAAAACTATGGCACCGAGCATGCAAACATTCCTGATTATTCCACAGGTCAAGCGAAGTTAGATTAACGCTAAAATGTAGCAGTTCCGAGCAACTATATATCAAAAACCTCATTACCTTAAAAACCAGAAATGATTTTAATTTATAAACAATTTAATTCCTTGTTCCTCTGTGATATGAAACTAGTGAATTTTTAGATTCCTTATTGCTATGATTTTTACAAACTAAAGAAGATTCTTAGAGAAAACAGTAATAAAATAAAATCAGAGTACACAAGGTTCGAAAATAACCGGGTTTTATTTGTTCTTTAGACAGGTAGTAGTAAATTCGAAGCTAGATGCTTGTACTAGTCGAGGATAGCAAGTGCCCTAACAGAACCACCGAGCATGACATCACCAAGTACTATAAATTTTCTGACAATTTATAGGACGCTAACGTATCCTTGAGTCGGCATCCTCCTGGGAGCTTTCTTTCTAGAATACTACGCGAATCCCCGCTAGTAGAGAGAATTTACTTCCCAAATCCGTGCAGAATCAATTGTATGTACAACAATTTTGGTTAAAATTTTCAAAATCTAAACATTTGACAATCTTACAAGTCTATAAAGAAGATTTATATATATAAAGTAAGAAATATATGTGATAAAGAATATTAGTTTTATATAAAATATCTAAAAATATCGAAAAGATATTTCTTGTTTTTATATATTTTCTAGATTTGACTTTTCTAGATTTTGTTATCATATTTTTAATTCAAATTTAAATCTCTAGACAATATAAGTAACTAGATTATTACATTTTAAGTCTCAATCTTGAATCTATATACTGGGATTCTTGTTTTAGACTTAAGGAAATGGATTTGATTTAAACTAGACACACATTGCAGTTTCGTTTGACAGGAAAAAATAAAAAAGGTATAAATTCAAATAAGAAAAGAAATATAGATGCAAACATAAAAACAAGGCGGGTGCATCTTTACAGCTCTGCATTATTCAAACGTTGGCAAATATTTTGCTTCAATTGGAAGGTCCAACACTGGTGACACAATTCTCTCTTACTTTGCATTCGGAAAGTCGCACTAGCATCGATATTTCAGCAAGGATGTTCCCCGACTCGCAGTTCTCAGTTATTCCGTTAACGCGCGCGTCGAGACCTCATCGATAATTCAATTAAAATCTATTGCTTGCCGTCACTTGTGCCACTCGATCCGATCTATTAAATTGCTTTACTAAATCTCGGACTCGACTACGAACTTTCATCGCAAATGAATCCATCTCGAAGAGCATTCCACGACGTATCGCTGTCGTGGCGCGCGCGGTTCACAGGATGATTATGACTTGTTCCTCCCTCCCGAGAATATACGAGGAGGTCTGCAATCTGATGGTAATTCGCTATTCTTCGTTAATTCCATCTAATCATTTCGATCAGCTTAAAGCAAGAGAAGCGATAGGGCAAATGATGCAGCCATTGTTCAAGCATACTTCTTCATTTTGAAGCCACATTATAAAACTGTACTTGCATAAAACTGTTATTTTTTTCAACAAATAAACGTTTCTTAAATTATAATATTAAGAATTATGGATTTATATAGTATTTCTTTATTTTTATATATTAGCTTCATAATTAAACTTTATTATTCTGACGCAATCTCTCAATTCTTGTTTTATAAATTATCCCTATAATACATCTTATTGATTATTTAAACCAATTTTATTGTACAAGAATTTTGCATAACAATTTGTAATCTTGCATCACGTATTTTTCACAGTCGGCAGACAATTTAAAAGTCCATTTGCGCATTCTGAGAAGCGTGCAAGGAAATCCGGCAGCGGAGAATTGGAGTCTAGAAGAAGACTCTGTTTCCTAGATGCGACTTCTTGCGTCGAGGATAACGAGGTTATCCTCGAGGGAGTCGATTACATTGTCGTACATCCGTGCTCTATACATTTCCATCACCCGATTCTGACATACCATCTTGGCTTGTGCAATAACATCGGCGCTCGTTTCTTCACCGCAAATTTCCAAAACAAAAATTCATTAATATGAAATGAAGATTGTGTACACCTCCTTCTCGCTTTACAATCTTCATCCGGTATTTCCCTTACGGCTCCATTGGATAAATAAAATCGTGCAGACGTTGCGTTAGATTAAGCTACAGTTTCTTCGAGGAAAGAAGATCCTCGGACGGTATCTTTGTGAATGTTAAAAATGAATTCGATGACGCGGCGAGATTACTTCAATCCGAATCGATGACGTGGTGAGCTTTCGCTCGACCATTCAATTTAGTTTCATGCATATGGTGGGAAATGGTTTGAGAGGATGACGTCGAACGTGTGCTTATTTTCCAAACTGTAGTTATATTGATTTTTAAATATTTAGAAGTTTCATATCAAAAAGATAGAGCTCTCAAAAGACGGCAAATGTATAGATTTAAAATAATAAATCTAATTATTTAGAAATTCACAAAGTTAGAAAAATATTAATAACTTTCCGAATTTATATTTCCATTCTGTCAGATTTACATTTATAATAACATTTTTACCTTGTGAATCGATAAGCAATTATCTTAATGTTTGTACGACTTTGCAAATTTTCTTCTTCTTTTCAAAGATTAAAAGTATTTTTACGTACTCAATGAATGGCGGCGGTTTCGCTACCACCCCTCCCCAAAATGTTTGCACGAGTAATTGAAGACGATGGAAAATGTTAAGTGTCGATTGGTCGAGGCGAGGTGGAGAATATGGATTCACCGACTCACCCTTTGCGTTCCATGAACCATGTTTGCTCACTTTCGTACTTTCAGTCTTGTTTTTCAGCTCCCTTTTTCCCCATTTTTTAGCAAGAAAACGGCTGCATATCAGTGTGACGGTAAGCCTGGAATTTCTCCTCTCTGCGTAAGGGTTTGTAAACTGTCGACGGAGCAAGATACATAGCGTTACAATAAGGTAGTCCTCCCCTCCTGCTCTCCCCCGCCCACCCGCTCACCTTGTGTCGTACATGCATATCTACGTATACGTATACGAAGAATTTTGTCGAGCAGACGTGAACGAGACACAAAGTTCGCAATGTTGTGGCCGTCTTGGCGAAATAAAATCGCTTTCGCACCGTCTTCATAACTTCACGCGCGTTTTCTGTCCTTTCGGCTACGCTCGCTAGCTTTTATTTCTCGTAATATTACATTTTTATCTACTCCGCTTGAAAAACATTCAGGCATCTAAAAATTCCAAAATTCCAAAAAGCAAATATTATGATATTGAATCGCATGGGAATCAAGTAAATATACCAACCAACAAACCCGTGAAATTTTTTTTTAAATTCCACTAACTTCAAAATCCAAATATCATATTTTATTAAATGGACTGGAACTTTTATTACTACGCTGTGAATCCTGCAGCAAAAGATACTGTTTTATATATATATATTTTTTTCTATAAAAGAAATTGTAGAAATTTACTTTCTTAAGCGTTACTTTTTTCCTTTTATGTAACAAATGACATCAATTTAAAAAAGTGATATTATTATGTTCTTTTTGACAATTCTAAAGTTACAATTACAAAGAATTTATCGCGTATTCAACACAAACATCTCGAAATGTATAAAGTCAATGACCTATTTAACACCCGTTAAAATTTAAAGCGTATCTATTTAGAGATCTCAATGTTTTATTTCAGCTAATAATTTCATTTGATTTTCGGTTTTTAGATGGATAATAATGTATTAATAATTAATAAACTATTCTTAAAAAGTTCTGAATACGTATAATTTTTAATAATAATTTTCATTAATAACATAAATGTGAGTAACAATTACGATCACTTATGCTTATCATCTTCAGTACTCAGAATTCTTTTTCTCTTAATTGTGCAATTTTAATAACGTGTGTAATGGGAATTTGGAATAGTGTGCAAATCTTTAGCGTCTCTTTCAAGTAAAGAGCGGGCCGCAAAAGTAATTTCAATATTTGATCGGTTTCCGATTTTGTCACCGAAAAACAGATACCACACGTGTGATATTGACATAAGGGTAGAAACGATGCAGGTAGAACGATATATCGAATTTCGATCGATGGCTCAACGCGCGATTCCGAGTCTTATGCATTTTGGGTTGGTGCCAAAAAGAAACACGTTCCCATACCAAGAATACTCGGCATGGGAGCTGTGAAAGTTATCGCTTTATTTACATCTCGATCTCTGTCCCGCTTTTGACACTGCCAACACTCTTCAGTCATATGTGAATCAAGTTCTTGCGCCAATGTAATAATGAATTCCAGTTGAACAAAGTAGAGATGAAAATGGTCATTGCACACACACACACACACACACACACACACACATTCGCACTAATGCTTTTATTACAACTTTTTCCTGATGCTCTGTATCATAAAGTCACTTTTACGTAGAACAATCCACGTAGAAATATTTACTTTCATAATAAAATAAAAACGTTATACTTTATTTCTGATGATTCTCGTCAAACGAATGGGTCCTTTTGGAATGCCTGGCAGCTGAGTTTTATCAACTTTCTAGAATTCAAGGGCGAGCATTTTCTCGCGGAATTGCTTCAAAATGGAAGTGTCGTCCCTTTATACGTGCACACACACAACAAAGGAAGAAAAATCCTGCATCTGACATGAAATCGAAGTTATTCCCTCGCGCATATGGTGGACAATTCCTTCGTTCCCAATAAAAGAGACCCAATCGAAGAACTTGCGCTCGTTCAAGAAAATAGCACATCTTGTTACTTACGTACAATACAGCTTTGTATATCAATGGATACAATGATTACGGTGAAAAATCGCGAAAGCTTTCGTCTATTTCGGCGCTACTCTTCTAGTGAGGATGAGAGTTTGGGTTTCCTGCTCCTTCTTCGCCGTCCTCTCTCCCGCCCCGCCTTTTTACGTCCTTCCAACCCTCGGTCTCGAGGGGTGAGACGGGTGGTCGGTGTTGGCAACTGTTTTGAGCACTTAACCGAATCGGTGAGAAAGTTTTGGCTCACGTTGCGGATCTCCTCGAGCCCGTATTTGCGGGAACCAGACGAGTGTAGATCATACAAATCGCGCACTTGTGTAAATACTGTCGTCGATTGTCCTCGCGAGATCTCTGCAGTAGGAGGAGATCCTTTCCTCGTAGCCAGAACAGCGCGCGAAAAATCGCGAGACACGCCGGCTGGGACAATACTTACTCCGCTCGCAAGAAGGTGTGGCGCCGCACCATATTTCACAGTCAAACGCAGAAGCAGCGAGTACTGGCGAGTACGCGAGTTCTTAGAGTTCGCGTCCAAAATGACCAGGTCCAGTTTTCGAAGAGATAGCAAATTCTTGGTAAATAATTCAATCGAGTTGTAAAAATAATACTAATTTTATATCAAATCGGAATATCAAATCTATAAAATTTCCAAACTTGATTGGTTCACTGTCATCTAGATTGAAGATCCGTGATTCTAAGAGGTGAACTAGGAAATTTAAGAGAATAGGAAATTCAACCTCCTAATCGTAATTGCACGGCAGTTTTATACGCGAATTACTCGGCGGAGCGATTTATCGGGCAAGGGGGGAAACGACCCGCGGGGGATTCGCGATTGTGTCGAAGACGAGGGCGATCGATCACTCCGGCACCAACGCCGACTGTGGTTTGCTCGTCGATCAATCAAACGGAAGCGCTTGAGACGACGATATAATGCTTCCGCGGAATTACGGTATCTACCGCGCCACGTGAGCAGCAGGCTTCCTTGTTTTTCAAGAAGTCTATGCATTTTTTAGAAGTCACTTAATCTTCAAAAGTTAATGTCTAGTTTATCGATTCATCACAAACCTTCAAAGAACATAAATTAACTTTCGTGTTTACCGCATAAATTTAAAATAAGAACTGTTTTATTCTAATATAATATAATGACATTAGAACCTTGTTAGATTTAATCCGAAATAGTTTGAAATTATTCTGTTCAACTTTTTAGTCGGTAGTCCAGCTTTAAAAAAAATTTCAAGAAGTGCTCCTTCTTTGTACAATTTAAAAAATTGTTAAATTGTACGAGCGAAATTTATTCAACGGTTTTAGATAGAGCACCATAGAATTTTTGATAGGCATTCACGGTTAAATCCGAAAGCAGAAACTGGCATCGCACTTTCCGTCGGATGTGTGCAGAAGCTAATGCGAGAGAGTCAGCATGACGTGCTTTTCACTAGCATGTACGTGCTTGGACTTTTGCGCGAAGGAAGCAGAGAGAAAGTCGTGAAAATATTTATTTGATAATTCACGGCGTCCACCATAAAAAGAAAATCCTTATGCCCAGCCACTTTAAGTGAAGTCGTCAGAAAGCTTTGTGCGCCAAACAGTAGCACACTCAACACATAAGGATATCGTCAATTTCGCACACAAGAGCATATTAGATCACTGAAAACAGAGTTACCGAAAATACTATTCAAATTTACTTTCTTAGTGGAAAACTTTGTCGGAAAAAGATTTTAAGACGCAAACAAAAATACTATAATTCTTTTGTATATTACTTATTATTATTTATTTTTTATGTGAAAAAAAGCTTTATTTATTATTTATAAATATATTTAAAAAGATTTTACGAAATAAACTTATTGTAAATTTTGCGTTTTTCCAACAAATTTGCAAAAGTTGGAATATGACAAAAATCTAAACGGTTGACGTTATATGTGTGCGATATAATTTGTTCTCGTTACAGTTATTCGATGTTCATTCATAGTATGTGCTGCGATTTAGCGACGTTATTATTATCTGGAAGCTTTTATTTGGCGACACATGTGCGACAGGTAATCGGCACTTTAATCAGAATTTTAATATTCGACGTTGGTGTAATTAATAACTGCGCGTGTAATTAATAACTATATGCGAAGCAACAGTTCGTCCGAAAACGCGCACTCGCGCGCCACAGCCAATATGCATTATTAATAAATAACAATGGAAAATTTGCGTCATAATTAATATGATGAAATCGTCGACGAATGTGGCGTGCCGCGGAAATCCATTGATCGTAAATTTCGTAATGCAAAATTGAATTTGCAGTACAGAAAACCCGGTATCAAAGGAAAGAATCAAATAAAAAAATTGCTTGTTTACTAGTTATATAGCGAAAGCTCGATATTTATAGGAATTTGAAAATTGCAAACGTAAAATTTACAATATTTTGATATTTTTTAGAATTAATTAAATTGTGTCAAAAAGAAAATTCAATTTATTTATAACGTTACGTTTGTGTTTATTTAAGTTTTCTGAAAGCAATTTTTTTTCTAATTGTGCTGCCATTATACGAGAAAACCTAATACGTTAATCTAGACTGATATCAAAAGCATAGAAAGCATCTTTCATAATAATCTTTGGAAGAAAGAAATTGCGTGGTGATCGGTTAAACGAGTTAGGTTTTAAGAAGCTGCGTACTTTGTCGGCCGAAAGAAATTTAATTATCAGTCGCTGGAAACAATAACTACGCGGCTTCAGTCCTGCGGTAAGATGGGATAGAATCTGACCTACCGCTATTTTTCTTAAGGCGAAAAAATCAAGATCGAAGGAGCGTTCCTCGTCTGTCGTGAGGAGTTTGAAAAACTCTAAATTAATTTTTGTGCCGTGGCGTTCCCGTCGGGTGAAATTTAATTATTCTTAATTAATCCACGAAGCCCATGCACGTTACTTGGGTTACTCCGGTAAAGAGAAGAGAGAAGAGAGAGAGAGAGAGAGAGTTGGGAGGGCCGGGTTGAAGGACCTTCCCGAGAAGACGGCACGGCGGTGCGCGGCGGCGTCGCGAATGCCGAGCGACCACGTGACGTTTCGCGTGAATTATGTTGCTATTACGAGGTAAATGATTGCACCTGCGCTCCTTTCAGTTTCAGGCGGAATTATTAAGAAGGATTCATTAAGAAAGCGATTAGAACACGCTGGACAAAAAGTCGATCTGCCCTAAATTCGCAAGTAATTACTAGTGATAAGAAACACGCTACCAGTTTCGTGAAACTTGAACGTGTACGAATATGCATATAGAGGAAGTTTAGAGGGCTGAGGAATAAAGAATGTAAAGGAAAAAGTGTTCAATTTAATATTATTTAACCTAATTAATTTATTACATCTTGTAACTTTTAACATTTTTATTAGAGGCAATTAGAAGATTAAGATATTTTTTTATGCAATACTTTTTTCAGATCTTCACGAGTATTCACAAGTATAACAATTCTTCTCTACTATTCCTTATAAATATGCTTCTTCCTAAAACTCTTTTAAATGATCAAAAGAAATAAACTACTCTGTTTTACCTTTGTTAATTATTTGTAAATTATCCATTTGTGATTTTCCATCGCCAACTTGCATTACGTTGACGACTAGTTTGATCGGATCATGTGCATGATGGCAGATACGATGGAAATTGAAATCCGGAAGTACAGAAGGGATGGGGGAGAGGCGAGGTCGGAAGGGTGGAAGAGACGAATTAGTGTTCTGCTCGAGAGGTCGCGAGCGATAGCAGAGAATTATTGCTTAGCAACGAAGGACAGAATCGATGTTGCCAGTAGTGACAAGTCCGATTACGCTGCCACGGCTGCGCCGGAAATATGTTTGCGCGCTTCTGAGTTGATCGCAATCTCTGTTAATTGAATCATTGTGAGAGTGCGGTAGCTACAACTCAACACTCAATGCATCATTTAAAAAAAAAGAATAGTGGGAAATCTCGAATTATAAAGATATTACAGTACCGCAAATTGAAAAGTGAGAGAACAGAGTATATTCCAGATATGCCGATTAGAATTTGTGAGGATATTCAAAGACAAAAATCTTAACGCTGTAACTTTAACACTACAATAACTTTTAAGTAGAAAAACGTTTAATGAGTATAATCAATTAGACTACTCAAAGCACGCCGCGTGCTAAGATAATTGAGCGTTTCGATTTTTGAATATTTAAAGCTGTAAAGTGTAATTTGAGAATTTTCATATCAAGACGCCAAACATTTCCTAGAACTTTACAGACAGCTTTGCATAGAGTAAAGCGGAATTACATGTATAACACGCTTTCGCATTTTATGTCAGATATGATGAGAATGACGGGCTAGGAGAATACAAAATGAGCTTGATTTATACTACAGGCAACGCGGAGGTGCACGCGCGATCGGTAACTCCACGGATAATTAATTACTTTAGCGGCGCGAGGATGTGATCCTTTGCGCATGAAAGGATGCCATTACGCCCATTAGCTGCCGCTAATTTGCGCAAAATCATTCGGAAACTCCCCTCGCTCGCGCACGAGGCTTCACCCGGCGATACGCGGTAACCCGAATGTCTGGTTGGTAATAGCAACAATGTCTGAGAGAAATGTAGTTGTCTTTCTATTTTGGCGTCGGGAGGGAAAATTCGTCTTCCCAACAGAGAATTGTTCCCTTTAATTAAAGTAGTTTCACCCCGTTCAATTAAAATAGTTCTGCTTCAGCGCGTCACTCGCGGATATATTGCTCGTTTCGTTCTTCATCTTTAAATACTACATCCCTCTATCTAAATTGTCGAGAGGAGAACCTCACGGATCTTTCGGATCTCTCGTGCTCGAGACTTCACGATTTCAAGAAGTTATTAATTTTCCAGTAAATTTCATGTAACACAAATGATCGTCTGGCCGAGAGAATATATTTAGATTAAGAATATCTTTTTATTGTTAACCTACTTGGAGTTAATCTTATTAAAGAGAATATTATTAACAATAAAAACCTTATTTTGACAGATACAGCCAACTATTTATTTTATATGCCCACTTTTTACTATTTTTATTGTCTTTGATTTTGAGAATTAATATACTTCTCATTACAAAATTTGTGCCCTTACTAAATTATTAATTACATCGAATTAATGATATAAAAAGTGCTTCTCAGATCTTGACAAGATTTAGAGAAAATCAACATGAACTGGACACTAACAAATAGCAAGAAGATATGACAAGCGGTTTGAAGATGGAACGCGGCAATAAATCCAGCGAAGTTAACAAGTCTGTCAGACCTCACTTAGCTGCGGTATATTTTGGTTATATCGGCCGAAATAACGCAGCAGCACGGTCCATCTGGCAAACCTTAATTACCATTTATATTCCGCATTTGCGCAGCTCGTGGACGATGTAAAATTACAACGGTCCGGGGGAATCTCGGCTTTCATTAAAAGATAATTAAATCAGCAGCGAATCGATCCCCTGCTTTATCTTGCCGTCTCCTGTTCGCGGAACTTCCTGAATTATGCAGCGAAGCGAGACGAGAACGTCGACTTTAAAATTGTATCGCGAAACAGCCCAGACTTTCAGGAGGAATGGTCCTGGGTATTCTTTCTTATTATACTGCCCTTTCGAGCAGATGGCAAAGGAAATCTTTCGGAGTCGCTCAGACATTTTAATCTTTTCAGTGTAAAATTATAAATATGGCAGGCTCATATTAGTAAAAGATTTCGTTTACCTTTATTTTTCTAAAAGTAAGAGAAAAAATAATATTGTTGTTTATTATTTCCAGCTATTCTGAAAACTGAATATAATTAGTGTTATTTTCAAAATTTCTTCCACTCCTTAAACTTATTATTATACTTATTACTTATTATTAATAACAGAGTGATCTTCAAGTCTTTAATTATAATCTTATAATTGTCGAATTATTCACATATGTATGTATACTTGCCGATATAAGTATACTTGGTTGCCCAATCGCGGCGTCGTGCATAATAAATGACAGTCTCGTGCAGAGACGGTGACCTTCGTTATCCGGCGTAATTAATAAAACGACTAAACGGAGCAGCACTCCAGCGCCATTAATCACAGCGACGAGAGCTATTAGTAATGCCTTTTCGAGCCGGAAGTTGAGCGAATGCGCACTCTGCACTCGTGACGTTCTCTTTCATGAAAAGGGGAAGGATGTGCAAGGATCGTGCGATTTCCCTCGGCTTGCCACATTAAATTTCCTGTCGCTCCGTCGCAAGCTAACGCGGGTATAATGTCCTAAAGTTATTTCCGTAAATGTGCCGTGAAATATCTAAAAATTATTTTCAAAACGTTTCTCGAGTCAGTCCTTGAAATTTCCCATTCGGTTAAATTAGGGATAAAATTTTCTTTCTTTGTAAATCAGAAATTTTCGTAGCGATAGATTGCATAATGGAGTTATGTCGGTTATATCGATATTTTTGAAAATCGCTCTCGAGGCTATGAATCCCAACGAACTTGGAAAGCGAGACACTTTATCTTCCGCGCGAGACGAACAAATCATTTCCCGAGCCGTATACCTTCGCCTAAAAGGATGGAGGAGGCATTCTTTTGCTGGCGACTCGTGAATCACGAAGAGACGGCGCGGCGGGGGATCCTTATTCCAAAGTATTCTGAGAGTTGAAACAAATTCCGCGAACTTGGTGGATTCGATTATTAGTTCGCGCCTCGAAAACTCGCCGCCTTCTTCTTCTTCTTCTTCTTCTTCCGCTTCCGCCATACGTTCGATACTGGGCTTTACCTATCGTCGCCGGAATTGTGAGTGCAGGCGGCCGTGTAATTGCGAGTCTTCTAAGGAAAACGGAAACTTTCCCTACCCGAGTCAGAGGAGAAGAAGTGCCGACAACGTGCATTAACTGGATCCAAACTTTCGATCGAAATTTCCATTACGTAAGAATCCGGGGGACAATACCGCGTCGAAGGAAACGTATCCCTTTCAGGGTTGTTTGAAAATCGCACTTTCCGGGACTCGAGGACTTGTGGGAATGCGGTTCGAGAGTTACTTATACTTTGCAAGCTGTTATCAAACATGAAACTCTGGATTGTTATTATCTTTGTCGTAAATTATAATAAATAAGGTTGAAGTAATAGCAAACTGAATTATAATTTTTATTGAATTTGTTACGGTTATAAATATTTTAAAAGAAACTCGGACTTTGTACATTACAAAGTTTAAAAATTAAACAATTATAAAGATCTACAATGTACAATAAAATCACGAAAGTTGGCAAAATTTATTAAACAGTAAAGAAAGTAAAGAAAGGAATTAATACGTGCTTTTCCAACATAAATTTTTGAATCCTCGAAATATTCCCACACCTCGACAATGCAAGCAAGTAAGAATCTAAACTTACTTACTAAATACTAAGAAATTCTAGCAACTTCCTCAATTTCAGACGACAAAGGCCATGAAGGATTTACAGATCTATTAGAGTTCACACTATAATCTCGCGAAAGTTTCACGCAGTTCGTAATGGCGCAGAGATTTCAACAAGCAATTTCGTGCCACGTGTCAGTGGCGCGCGCGCGTCAGAAAAATGAGAAATATTTGATAAATCTCTTCGTGTCATTCTCTTCAGTTTCAAGCCACGGCGGCAACGTCGAACACCGTGGCAGGTACGCTGCAATATATTTCTTTGCTGTTGTGCCTCTTCATCTTCAACCCTTTTTATTGCCGTCACCTAAGCTCTTTTCCACCCTCTATCTTATATCTCTCGCCAAACTTTCTCCTTCGGCCTTTTCCTCGGCTTGAGGGAACCTTTTTATGTCTCCACGTATGTCGGCCGGAGTGAATGGTGTTTCAATAATCGTATATCATTGAATTTTCTCGGGCAAAATAGAAAATTTCGCTTTTCCCCCGCGCTCGCAAGCTGTTCCGCACGTCTCAACATCTCAAAGCCGGAAATTGAACGGTAAATGTGACCACCACCCCGTGTCGCGTCTTTAACGTAAGAAATTTTTATTAAAAAAAAAAAATATATATATATATATGGATATTTAAACGTATATTGTGCAACGTGTACCTGTCGCGTGCCTGTATGTGAGTGTGAGTGAGTGAGTGAGTGTGTGTATGTGTGTGTGTGTGTGTGCGTGTGTGTGTGTGTGTTCCGATATATAATAACAAAGATAAAAATTATCAAAGATAATGAAATCCATAAAGATAATAAGGTATCTCAGATGAAAAACAAAAACGGAACTACAGCGAACGCTTTCTTTGTAAAAGAAATGTTTTCTTTGTAAAAGAAATTTTCCAATTACGTCATTTCGACTTTAGTAATTACACATCACGCAGGTTCTAATCTCCGACCTATTTGGAACGTTCCGCGTGTCTCCTCGACGAGACGTTGGTCCAGCTCAATAACTTGCACAATCCTGAGAAAGTTCAGTTTCCGACCATCCACGCGAGCCGCCGCCGGCGCCGCTATATTGGGATCGCGCGCGGAGGTCAATGACATCTATTCCCAGCCGCCATAATTCACAAGGCCTTCCCCCAACTCTGCGAAAAGTTCCCTCAAACTTAGATTAGCGATTCAATTTGGGCCGCCAGTGAATCATCTTAAAAATCGTTTTTTAATCGGGACACTCTGTAACGAACAAAACGTCCTTGCCCTGCCGAGCGGCTTTTCCTGGCCTCAGGCTTTTCCCCCGCATTTCCCGCCCTTCCGTTTACCTCCAACTACTCATAGATTTCCGCGCCATTCGTTCAACGCTGCTAGCTCGACGACCAGTAAGGATTACTTCATCTGCTAATGCCCATCTAAAATTCCGTTTTTTCGAGAGAGTTGACGGATTGGACTCATTATGTATATCCACGCGCAAGAATAATTTATTCGCTAAAAATCCATTTTTAATAATGCCGACATAAAACGACAATTGTTACATTTTTGTCACATCAAAAGAAAATAGAAGATAAATTATTTTATTTTCCAATCATTTCTTTCGATACAAGTCAATCTACATTCTACAATCTCCAAAACATTTTTGATAAATTTTATTACTCAAATATTCTAAATTAATTCAAAACTTTTTTGAAAAAAATTTCCGATTTTCTTTTATTATTATGAAAAATCCTGAAGAGATAGAATTTTATACGTTACAAAAGCAAATGTAATTTTGTAAAATAGCGTTACGAAGTTCTTCCCTCGAGATAGTGTCGAGTGCATCGTCTCTAGCTGTGACTTCGAAAGAGCAGAGAACGTATGCCCGGCGTGTAAAAAAGTTTCGATAGTTGATCGATCGGTTTGACTACATTTCCTTTCAGTACAGTTCGATAACGTCTCGTGTACGAAGAAAGAGATGTCTAATATACATTTTAAACTCACAATCAGTGCATATCTTATCTGTCTTTAGGAAGACGTTATTTTTTGAGTTTGAAAGAAAGCTTTAATTAGTTACCCAAAAGATTACTTTCAATAATTAAACACTCTTGTGTAAATATGAAGAAGGCAGCTTAATGTGTCGTTACATAGAGATTCTTTTACTTCTAAGAAATCATCATCAGCTATTTTATAGCATTCGAGCTATCTAAAATTTATATGTAAATATGTTAATGGAGAATTTATATATATTTAAATTTTTATTTATGGCAGGTGATGTCGACGTAATCGCGCGTGATTACAAAGTTGCTCGTGCGATTGAATCGCTAGAGGGTTTATACGTTCACTCACCCATGGCAGGTGCGTAGATGTTCAGATAGAGGCAGTCCTCGCTCTGGTTACGCAGATGAGGCAGCAGTCTCTTCAGATACTCTAGTCTTCCCTTAGGCATTCGCTCGAGCGCTTCCTGCTCGTTTGCGATGTCCGGCAGCTTTTGGGGGCAGACTGGACCCACCGAGTCCGATAATCTGCAGAGGAAATCGGAAATCGTTCGTGCGTTACAACGAACTGAACGGTCAAAGTTTCGCTTGAAATACGCGTCGCCATGTTCAATAAGGACGAACATCGTCGATGAGAATATATTTGGGTGCGCATATATATTAAACTACAAGGTGTCTTAACCTTGTTGTATATGGTATCACATTTAAATTTATGTCTTAAAATGATAGTTTTTTCTTTACTAATTTCTTTAATTAATTAATTATATAATAATATTTTCTTATCAATTCTTGTCTAATAAAATTAAATCGATTCATCATCGCTACTACTTTTCGTTGAGAAATTAAAAATTTGTTGGTAGTTAATTGTAAGCGGACTTGGTAATAGCAATATAACGTCGGCATTTGAAAGATTTTCCAAGGAACATCTTGGCATAATTTTAGAATGTTGTATATCCTGCGATATTCTCAGACACTTCGAGTTAGGAAGACTGCGCGGCATCCAAAGTATTTCGAGAAGATCGTGCTTGTTATATAAAATTGGAAAGTATCTCCTTTTAACTGAAAGGAGATCATGACTGCGATCGACTTGGCGTACGAAAATAAAAATTGATTAGCCTTGATACAACTTTCTGCATAGCTTACTGTAAACTTGTTCACGATTGGGAAAACTTCGTAGTTTCGATAAACGATATTCATAGCAATTCATTTATTCAGAACGGGATGTAGGTAAACAGAAATCGCAAATGTAACATTCTCGTTGATTCTCCCGCTGCAATATTTCATTTCAAATCAGAGTTTAGTTGTAGTTGTACGTTAGAATCAAATTTGTGTGTGTGTCATATATGTTTTCTTGAAAAAAACTCTCGACAGCCAATTTTCAAAATTAGCTTTACGAGATATAATTACGCCCAATTAAAATTAAACTTTCAATACTGTCAAAAACTCTGCGTTAATTTTATTCGTAACAATATAATTTTCACGAGTACATCACGAAAAATTAAAACTCGTTGAACGATATTGGTTGAAAGAAGATAACATTTTACCTGACTCCTTCCCAAGGATTCGGTGCTCTCGTTGGGGAAAAGCGGTTGCTGCCGACCGGCGGTCTGGCGTAGGGTATACCGAGGTACACGTCGATCGGCTTGAGGAACTTGGCATACTCGAAAGACCTCGTGACGCCCTGCACCTCGCCGTAGCGCGTCTGGACGATCCGTGGGTTGAGTTTGCTCTTGATGGAGAGTGAGAGAGCGGGCGGCGCGACCAGGCAAACGAGGATCAGGAAGAGTTCCATCTTGCCACCCTCCCCTCGCCTCGCCCGCGCTACCGCGACTGATCGCGCCCGACACTATCTATGGATCACCTCCGCGTCCCGCAACGATCGTCTCTCATTTAGCGCTTGCACGATTAATTACGACACCGTCGAGTCTTCCCCATCCCGATGGGCTTCTCTGAAAATATTACATACATATGGCGGCTCCATAGATCAGTGATTATAAATTACCTACGCGTACTAAATATTGTAATTTTTCATTGTTTCTATTTTTTAAATTAATTTTTTATATCATTACTTATTTACAGTATTCTGCTTTTACTTCAATTTTATCAATGCGAAACTGTTGTAAACCTCACAATAGCTCCAATTTATATAAATAGTATAAAAACAAACTTTACGATAGAAAATAACTGATTTATTAAAAAATCTATTTTTTAAACGTTAAATTTTAATATTAATATTTTAGTGCAACAAATATTATTATACATTAAATCTGCTCTCAATATTCTAAATGAAAAACTGACAGAAAGTGGAAGTTAATTAGACAATAGTAAGCAGTAGGTACAATGATATAAGTAAGAAGACAAAACGGTGCGCTCGTAATATCAGTCCATAATAATAATTATTATTAATTAATATCAACTTGAAATTGTTGGAGCAAGCAATGTTTAAACAAATGAAGTCGCACTTTATTACAATCCGCGAATTATTTCGCACGCGATTGCTCGCTCGATCGCATCAATTAATTTTGTGTTTTTGTTAGTTTTAATTTCCAGGACGTGGCGGTTTTCGTTGCTGGTTTGGTGGCGTATTTATTTAACGTGCCCGTTCAATTAACTATATCAATATTTAATTAATACGCGCCGCGGTTACATCGATTCTATTGGAAAATGACAATGATATTCAGAAAAAAAGAAAAAAGAACGAATACTCGAGTACACATCTCAGTGCGGTGGGTAATCGATATTCCGAGGGTGGTTTCTCCAAGGATGCACGATAGTAACGACACCTCCTTTACGTCATCTTCGATTATTAGCGAATTCTAATCTTACGACAGAAAGTTTCATCTCTGCGTCTCTTTGATAAAAGATAAAGTAAAATGGCCGAAGGGAATAGCTGATAAGAGCTGAAGGCAATGGATAAGCGTGAGAAGGGGAAAGTTTCAAATTCGATAAACGCGAGGAAATACTTTCTATAGACATCGTACGTTCGCTATATTTTCACAGAATCAAGTATCTTGAAGTGAATTAATTATCTCTGTTTAATATTTCTACATCTTTAAATAAATATTCACTCTAGTGTATTTAATGTTTACTATTAAATATTATTATTTAGTATCTCATTAATATCTAGAAATGTTATGTATAATAAAATTAAAAATATATAAACAGTAATAAGATCTATTTTAAGTAGTAAGTAACTTTAAGTAGTATTTATGTTAAGTAGTAAGATAAATCAAAAAGTGAACAGTTTGAAAGATAACTTCAAATTTTATGCTTCCATTATAAGAATATATAAAGCAAGGAATGATTTTAAAATACTGCCAGAAGAATTTTAAAAATGTGTAAAAAATCTATCAAAGAGAGGAGAGAGAGAGAGAGAGAGAGAGAGAGAATGTGTATCAGCCATTAGAAAATACAAAGGAAATTAATATAACTCAAATATGTTAAAAACTTAAAATATTTCCGCATTTTATCAGTGGAATTTTTGGCACTATCATAACGTCATGGCGTTTTGGTATACATAAAGAATGTAAATCAAAAAATTAATCACGTCTCGATGCGATTATCGAGTCTTGAATTCACATTACGCGATAAGATTACGGAGACTTGAAGTTTCCATGAGCGGATAGAGAAGAAACATATATACAATGTATATAATATATATAATATACATATATATATATATATATATATATACATATATATGTACGAACGGTTGCAGAGAAGAGAGGTAGGGCTGGGGGTCGAGAGAAGTGCTGGAAAGGGTAGGGGATAAGTGAGTGCACTCGTACGTGGAGCCATTATGGAAATCAGTACTTATCGGCCTGGAGAGGAGAAGGAAATTCAACGTTGTGTAACGATGCCACGTTTTCCTCGTGATCCACGTGGCGGGGAAAAAGGAGATAAGCTGTTTCGGTCCCGTCACTCGCCCCGATAATTTCTCTTCCTTATCAACGATACCTTCTTGCCGCGGAATCTATCTCGTCGATTTACGAATATCAAAAGCAACGCGAAAAGTTTTATCAAAAAGTAGAATTAAAAATAATATTAAAAAGTTCGAACTTAATTGCTTACTCTGACATATATGTAAAAATTTATTTTAAAATAAAAATTTAAAAACATTTAGAAAAAGATTAACCTTTCAACTTTGCATCAAAGTTGTCAGTTAAAACAGTAATAACAGCGTTCATTAATAACTCGATAATTAATAACTAATAATTAGATTAACAACTCTCTTATGTTTTTACAAGAGAGTTTTGTAATTAATATAATAATTTAATATAATAATTTGTGTAATAATTAAAAATCTTACCATTTATGTGAGGCATGACTTTGATTAGTCCTTTCACTTTCCTGAGACTCTCGAATTATTGAACGATGTCAATGTGGGCTTAATCCAGAACGTCTTTTAACATATTTTTTGATAAATTCAATATTAACAAGAATAATTAATTGAAATTTACTTTCTTAAATTAATTATTAAAAAAAATTAGTCTTTATTGTTACAACTCTTATCGTGTCTCTCAAATGCGCATTTCTTAAATCAAAATTCTCGAACATTTTATATTCCTTCGTCTTGTTATTTACTATATACTTTGTGCAACCGCGAAAACTTTCTTTTCTAGTAATTAATCAAATTTTGAATGTTAAGTTCCATAAAAGTTACGGACGTTGCTCGCAGTGTTCTGAAACATAAAAAAAATGCACACAATTAATTTTTGCAATTATATTTTACAAGGAATTTTTTAAAAATATTTTCAATTTTATTTAAATTTTTAAACTATAATAATATTACTTGTTTGCTCATTTATAATTGTACAGAAATGTTTACATAATATAATAAGATTAAAATATCTAATAATAATACATTTATTAAAAGCAAATATGCATATGTATGTATATATACATATAATGTATAAGCATTAAGCATGTATATGTACACGCATATATGTATATAACGCATATAACTCAATGAGTAATAATTAGATTGTACTATACTTGGCTATATTATTATTTACAAAGAGCAAGAGAAATTTATATGACGCTTGGCTATATTATTAACATCAGATTATGATAATCATATAGCAGCCAACTAGATTACTAAATCAGGTCATTAATAAATTGTCAAATCAGCTGAGGATATTGTATATAGAATTGAATGACTCATTATCGCTCTTTGTTAATAATTAGCTAATTAATTTTCAAATAGAATCGACAGATGGCTTGCGATTCAAAATCAAAGCACAATTACATACACATATACATATTTAAGATAAAGTCATAAAGATTCAACATTTTAGAAAATGTTCCATATTTTATTCTGATACATTTGACATAGAATATCTTGTAAAATAATCATTTTGCAATTACTTTTTATATTCATACACACAAAGATAAATTGATTAGCAAAAATATGTAATTCGTTAAATAATGTGCACACAATTAGAATAATTAAGAAAACTAAATTATACAAAAACACTTATATAAATGTTGATATTTTTTTAAAAATGCATACTCTAAAGAAATTGTAGAATTTAAGAAGCAATAACTAGAAGCAACGTTAATTTGTAGAATTTATTTTTGCATTTTTGTTTCATAAACAATATATTCTCTCTCTTTCTCATTTTTTTCTTAACTGTAAGTCCAATTACTTTTTGCTATTTAATTAATTTACAAATTATTCGAATTTTTTTGTAAATTGAATTTCAATTTACTTTAATTAATTCACTGTATATCAGCCCATACACACACCTTACATTGTCAATTATTATTATTTACTCTGTTAAATCTCTTCTCTACTTTTTTTTCTATTTTCTTCACTCTTTCTCACTCTCTCTCGTCTTTATAATTCATTCTTATGTACTTGCTCTTTCTCTCTCATCTCGTCTACTTTTTTCTCCATGTATATTGTAACGTACTGGGATTAAATGGGCTAAACCCAACATTTAATTAGACAAGAAAAGGGGATGAAGAAAATAAGAAGAAAAAATCTGCGGAATCTTTCTCAAATTTTTCAAATTAATGAAAATTGAAATTGACGTGATAAAACTTTAATAAAAATTAATGAAATATAAATAAAAACAAAATTTAATAATTTAATAATTGTATGTCAATATTTAATTATACATATTTATTTAAATTTTTGTAGAATATTACTTCAAAATTTCTAATAATTCTTTAAGCATATATTATTATATTTATAATATGTTAAATACATTATTACAAAAGTACCTGTAATATTTTATTGAATTTACATTTACAGAGATATATTTTACATATTAATAAACTATAACTATAAATAAATTCATACAAATTAAAAATATTTTTAATTTAGTTTTTCGTGAAAATAATTTTTTTTATTTTAAAATGTAGAGATTATATACCATGTCCGCGGTCAATTACAAAAGCTAATCTTAATTTTTCATCTTATCGTGCCATTGCACCTTACGACCTTACGATGCCATTATAACGCAAATTCGTTGTAGCGTGGATTCTCAGGTGAAAGTCACGTCGAGAAAAGAAAAGACAAGATTGAGATCTGATTACACCAAGAAACTATCTTTGAAAGAGTCAACCCTTTCCATAGGGCTACTACTGATTATTTTAGCGATAGTGCGGAATGCCGTTATCGTCTAGACGGTACTGGTGAACAATTATTACTACTTGGCAAACTGAAATAGTCTGGTCGGCGGATACCGGTTGCCAACTTCAGCGACAAACATAAACGCGACTACCGGCATAAGTCGAGGTCTTGGACCATGCACTGTCCTGCAGATTCGTTCAGCATCCCGAGTAACTATATTCCAAGCAACGAATAATGGATACACTATGTAACATCGTAGTTAACGACACATTTGCTAGTTAATATGGGCGAGAACAAAACGATAAACGTGAATACGATAAGATTTCTGAGAGCTTGGATCTTCGGGATTTAATCTTATCACTTGCGAAACTGCATTAATTTAATAACTTGGTAACTTTGCTTCGAAATAGCTCAACAATTCTACATCTTAATGTTAATAAAATATAAGAATACAGGGGATTAACTATAAAACAGCTTAAGAATTTGTAAGCAAGGTCTTTCATTCTCAAAGCGGATTATTGGATGTAAGGACTTTTTTGTTTGGATTAATTTCTTAAGAGATTCTCGTCTCGTTACATTTTTGCGGATTAGGTTAATGAGATTGTGAGGATCCTCATTTTCAGAGTAGTGTATATATATATATATATATATATATATATATATATATAGAGAGAGAGAGAGAGAGAGAGAGAGAGAGGAAAAGAGGAAAATATCTAAAATTTTATAGTTCATTAAAGTGGTTATTTTCTTCTTTGTTTACTAATTACATGTTATGTACTTTTCACATCCCGCTAATGCTGTTCTCTTGTATTTATTTAACGTGATTTCTCTCTTCTTCGTAATTCAATTTTAACGACGGTCTACCTATGGACGGTCCGGCAGCAGTCATAGCTGTTAGAATAGCGCAGGTGCATCGTGGAGCATCTGAAAGAGGACTGTCGCGCTGCGACAGAATGACAGGCACAGGAAGACACGGCAGCGTATGCGAGCATCGGAAAGCTATTCACGACGTGGCGCTTTCTTACGAGATTGACGGGAAGAAAAGGGACTGTGTATCTCGCAGAGCCACGCAACGGAAGAACTCCATTTCCGCCATATTTCTCGTACAATGCCGCAAAATTGACTAGCCAGAAAACGGCGTTTCGTGACTGATGCTGGCGAAGAGGACCCGAGAGACCGCCATCGAGTACCAGTCCCACTTCCAATCGATCGATCGAAAGATCGCCACTATACTGTCGACGAATGTGTATACAAATGCTTTATGCACTTACAGCAGCCTTCCAACGATTTATTGAAATTCCACCGATGTCTCATTATCAGATGCTTCTTTGATGCAATAATCCACAATTTTAATTTTTCTGAAATTTAATTTGCTGATAGAAATTAAAGAATTATGTAAAATTAAAATTAAGAGTTATAACAGATAGGAGAGAGATATATTTACTTATTCAGGGCGCAGTTGTAAAGATTTCAAAATTAAAGAGTTATGCAAACGAATAAATGAATATATTTAGTGTAAATTTATTTAATAAAAAAAATTAAGTAGCAACGAATTGCTTGAAATGCTATTAAAGATAATAAATCATTTTTATTAATAAAATTGTATAACTTTTTCTAGAAATTACTTAAAATGGTTATCATCTTATATGTATTTTTTTAAATTAAGAACCCTAACGATATTTCTAGGTCAAGAATAAATTTCATGGAAATAAATAATATCTATTTTTGAAATGGTTTCATAATGCAACATTCAGCAAAATCCTCAGGACAAGCAGTTTCATTTTCAGAAAGATGCAGACGCGGCACGTTAATTTCCGCATGAAACATTCGCGGAGAATTCTGGGAGGTAGCCAAAGCGTGCGTATAAATAATGCGGGCTAAATGAAAAATTCTCTTGGGACGGGGTGAAATTCCACGTCTCTTCGCGAGACTAAACGAAATCCCTGGCAGGAGCTTTTTCGAAAGTGCGACGCAGCTGCGGCTGCGTTCGCGAATTCTCTTCATAACCCTCTCATCCCTTCCATGTTTCATCCCTCTCTTCTCCCCCTTACCCTACCTACCCTTCTTCTAGCTCGCTTTCCTCGGTATACTGAACGAAGACAAATAACCTGTGGGTTGTTTGTTGCGCCATGGTCGTTTCTCCCGGAAACGGAAGGAACGTCGGAAGACCACCTAGGGGATCCGAGTGACCCTTCGAGATAGAACTAGATAACGTTATAGAGTTATAAATCGACATTTCTACGAGAAATAATAATGGACTGTATATATAAGAGATTAGAACACGCAGATAAAAGATATTAAGTGAAAAGAGAAGATTATGTGAAAAAAAGTTTAAGCATTTGCAGAAGTTAAAGATACGGAATAAATACGAAGAGTTTTTAACTAAAAAGGGCTGAAAGTCGTAAGAGTGAAAGTTTATTTGAGATTCAGTTTTGCTTGAAAATGCAAAATTAAATTTTCAAAAGCCAAGGTAAATAAAAAAATTTTTTAGAAGATTCTAGCTCGGTCTCAAAAAAAATTTAGTCGACTTTCAATAATTAAATAATCCAATAATATTTAATATAGTAATAAGGAATTAATTCAAGGACTATCAAATTCCTCATCAAATTTAAACAATAAGAACAAGGTGATAGAAACGCATGGCCCAAACACTTTAAGATTTAACAAAGTTGAAAAGCTTGAAAATCCCATTTAAGGACTTAAAGACGCAAATTTCCTTCGAATGCGCACTAGGTGGGCGATTTAACGTAAATACCAAAGGATTCACGTAAGTTTGTTAGCGAACAGCCACTGCGAAAGTTCGTGGAAGAGCAAGTAAGTACCTTCCTGCGCGACGGAGTCCCTAAGCGACGATCGGAGGATATCCTTAACCAGCCAATGACGATACGGCCGCAACATTTTCCAGGAAGCCTCCTGTCTAAGCTCACCGAATCCAATTCGCGGAACAATAAGGACGAACTTAACCGGCTTCTACGGATGCCCCGTACCTTCTCGCGAAACTGCGACCTAGAATGAATGTGGAGGATATTATCCTTCCTCAATTTTCTCTCCAATCCCCTTCGCTTCTTTTCGCGCCCTCATTCCTCTCGTCAGGGACGAGAT